GTTTTCTGGGAGATCTCGTGGACTCTTTTTATGAAGTGGTAGAAGTCTAGCAGCTTTCCATTCATATGGAAAACAGCTTGTTATGATAGCATGATTAAAGATGTGTGTGAGTGATAAGGTAATAGTAGGGGCTGCAGTTTTTTAAATCTTTCCAGATATTTTATCAAGACCAGTTGCTTTCGAATTGGATAAACCATTTAGAAGCTTGACTACTTTAGTATGTGAAACTAACTTAAAGCGTGTCATTTTTGATGTAGCTGGTTTGATGAAACGATCAAACGTAATGTCAGTATCATCAATAGAACTAGCTAAGTTAGAGCCAGTGTCAGTAAAATATGTATTAAAAGCATTGGCAATTTCTTCAGGAGAGGTAATTTTTGTATCATTAAATTTTAATTCATTAACAACAGTATTACCTGGAGAACGACCGAGTAAGTTATCGATTGTCTTTCAAGCCTCTTTTGGATTATTATTTTGATTTGATATTTTAGTGCGAAAATAATCTGTTTTAGCTTGTTGTAGGGCAATATTGACCTTATTCCTAGTTGATTTGTATTTATCCCAAGCAGCACGGGAACCAGTCACCATTGCCTCACGCTTTAATTTATCTCTTTCAAACATAATTTTTTTAATTTCCCCAGTCAGCCACGGAACGCCAGATTTTCTTTTTCTAATACGCTGAACAGGGGCATGCTTATCCAAGATTTCCAAAAATAACTTTTTCCAAAGGGCCCACATGGAATCAGTATATGATTCCAGAACAATTTGCTCTCATGGCTGAGCTAGAAGATCCTCTCTAAAAGAGTTATGGTTAAACCTTTTCATGTTTCTGACCTCAACATTCCTGGTCATATTGCGTGTAGACACAATTAATGGGATTGATTTTTCTTATACCATAAATTAAGCTGTGATCACTAATTCCCGTATGAATTACGCCAGTCGAATTAATTTTCTCTGGCATAGATGTTATATAGTGATCTATAAGTGTACAAGAAATATTTGTTATTAGTGTCGCCTCAGTAATAAGTTGAGATAACTGGTATGTTTCTAATATAGCTTTCAAGGTTTTAGTTGGTTGATCAGAAACAGTATTAAGCAAATTACAATTTAAATACCTTAACATATGCAGTTCTTTGTTTTCGTCATCAATCGATTTGATCATCTTTTCAAAATCAACAAAGAACTCAGAAGTGGAATCTGGTGGGCGATAAACAGATGCAACAATAAAACTTTTACTATTTGGTTTGCAAATCTCCAAACAGACCGCTTCGATACCCTCAGGAACCAGATCATTTCGAATTTTATAGTTAATAGAAGTACGGAGATATATACCATACACCATCCCCTCGGCGAGATCGATCTTTCCTGACTATATCGTAACCACTGATATTTACTAAGTCATCCGAAATGGTATTGTCTAGTCTGGTTCATTTAAAGCAAATAAATCTAAATTTGAAAAGAGTTTAGATATGCGTAATTCCTCAACATGTTTAGGTAAGCTGGCTATATATTAAGTAAAGCCATTTTAAACCCCCAAACCAACCCATTTCCATCAAAAATTAGGAAATGGGTTGGATGTAGAATTTTGAAAATTAGCACTCACATTTTCACATAGTCAATTTCTAAGTAATAATTTAAAATTGTTTTGTAATAGCAAACTACCAGAGGGATTTAAGTAAAATCCTCTGGAATTCAGGTGAGAGTCCTTTATATTGGAGTTCTCTATAAATACCCAACCATTTTCACAACATGAGGATTTAATCAAGGAATTTGTTTGTCTTACCCTGTCTGCAATGCCATTGACATCTTTTCTAGCAAGAATTCCAGAAACAATGACCTTGATATCAGGACACTGCTGATAGATCGTCTGTACCAAGTTGGATACTTTATCAGCAACAACTTTTAAGTCCGTGCTACGTAGATCATTAGTCCCCTATCAATCGGTTTGAGAACCCTCGCTGACTTGACTATGCTTTAATTATATTCTTTACACGAACGTATATTAAGGTATATTAATATTTGAATGAATGTAATTAAATTTAAAATCAATAAATTTATCTTTTTATTGTTTTTAAAAGGCTATTTAATAAAGGAAATACAAAACATTTTTTCCATGTTCCTATAGAGTTTATAGAAACACTTGTTGGGAGAAACTCCAAATTCCCACGCAATTTCTCGTTTCTCCCAAACTTCCACGTGTGTTTCTATTACTCTATAGAAACTCGGAAAATGTTTTCTCCAATTCTTTAATATATATATATATATATATATATATATATATATATATATATATATATATATATATATATATATATATATATATATATATATAATAGACCTTGCAGCTTATTGAATTTCCGAAGCAATCGTCAGTGTTGATACACCCTTGGCTATTAAATTATAGAAGTTGTAGATCTAGAAGCTCGACCACCGCTGCGTTAAATAGCTCAATCATATCCAAAGTATATTCAGGTTACTTGAAACTATTTATTTATTTAGTTGATTGCTTTTCCGTGTCAGGTACGCTGTACGCATACAGCCGTTCGCTACCATACATAAACACACACAAGTACAACACAAGGCACCATGAAAGTTGGCAAGCGTAACAGTCTAGAAACCAATTACTGTGGGCCCAATAGGCAATTATATACAAGTAAAAGATATCATTTTAACTATGAATAAAATAAAACTAGAAAAGAAACAGTTGAAGAGTTTTTATAGCTAGATCGAAATATCGAGCGGAAGATTATATACAGTTTTAGACTTAACCAGAAGCAGTCACGAAAAATATAACTATATACAGAGTATAAGCCCTCTGGCAGGAATCAAACTTGTGGTTAGAGCTCGACAACTACAACAGCTAGCGCTCTAACCAACTGAGCTACAGAGTTCACTGGAGCCGCATGAAGGTTCGATTCCTACCAGATGGCTTCATTTTTCGCAACTGCTCCTGGTTAGATCTAGAACTGTATATAATCTTCCACTGGAAATTTTCATCTACAGAACCCTTCAACTGTTAGTTTTATTGAGCGAAATGCCCTCGATATTTAGAAAACTATATGTAGTATACATACGCAGTTTGTTTTTCTTCCATATACGTGCAGTATACTTGCTTCAGTATAGACCTAGTGAGATCATGCATTCCTATAGGAAATTCCAGGTTTTGGTATTGGAAACTTTAAAATTTCTACCCCTGATGTACCACAATGGGATTAACTTATCACATTGGGGTAAAAAATTGGCTAATTGAATTTCCGAAGCATTTCCGAACAGATTACTAATTTGCATCCTAACAGGAAAATTTAGGGGAGGGGCAGTATATGCTAAAAGAATTCCTTATTACGCTTAGAAGAAACTGTTATTTCGCACTTGTAATCTACTTGGCATGTGATCAAAGCTGTAAACAAAGGTTAAAGACGCAACCATGATAAAAAACTATAACATGAACTCGCGTATAGATGTTCATATCGCATCGATTTCCCGAGGCTGCTCCATTTACTGTTCTAGAACATTTGGGAACACTGTTCGGGAACGATATGAAATGGAATGAATACGATGTTGTGGAACAGTATTTAGTTTATTATATATGCACGTGCATGCGATTACTAGGCTTTATTTTTCACCCTACTCGGTTTCCTTTGTTCTTATCGGGGAATATATTCAATATTCCCTTCTAATCAATTTCCGTTTAATAATCCCCTCTAATATTCACCTGTAATTAATAATCCCTCTAATATTCACCTGCAATGTCTTTGCAGCACAAAAATGAGAAAGAAAAAAACAACATAACGAAGGCAATATGGCATTTATCACTTATTTACTGAGACCGAGGGAAACAGTGTGTTTTGTGGACCCGAGACCGTCGATGTTTCGCGAGGCGAAGCCGAGGAAAACATCGACGGTCGAGGGTCCACAAAACACACTGCTTTCCCGAGGTCTCAGTAAATAAGTGTTTTATTATATATCAATAGTCAAAGAAACAACAAATTAAAGAACAAATGAACGTAAATACACGACATATTTTATTGTTAAAACGTTATATTAAACACTGGCTACACTGCAGTTACTTAAACTAAAGCGAAAGTTTTAATTACGTACTAGGCATGTCCAAAGGTCGCATCTTCACATGATGGCGCACGTGAATTTTTTTGTTATTCGCCGGTCGATAACGTATTATCTCCCTCTCGCGCTAGCTGTTGCGAGGGAGACAGCCTAATTTCGTCACTCTCACGTGATATGCTGTCAACCAATAAAACACTAGAAAAATGCGACTTTGACTATTGATATATAATAATAAGAATTATTTCTATTCTGAATCATTAACGCGACCTCGCAATGTGAAAAATAAGTAGGCCTACGTTATTTTGAGGCACCTCGAGGATATGTGTTTATTCACCTCGGCGCTGTGCGCCTCGGTGAATACCTCGGTGAATAAATCACATATCCAGTGGCGTAGCCAGACCTTCATTTTTTTTTGGGGGGGGCGAAGCGAACGCCGAAGGCGTAAGACCATCTAGAGGGATCCGGGGGCATGCCCCCCTCCCCCGGGAAAGTTTTGAAATCTAGAGTCCCTGAAATGCGATTTCAAGCATTTTGGAGTGTGAAATCTTGCAGAATTCCGAAGATTATAAAGTACATTGAAGACATAAATTTTCCCAGACATTTCTAATTTTCTACTCGGAATTAAATAGCTGATTGGAAAAGTCACCTTGAAAAACAGGAGGAGCCGGTCATAATAAGTCTGAGAGGAATATTCATGCTATGATAATGCATACATGTAAATCTAAACTAAATTAAATCTATTCTTCTTGGAACCATATCTACAACTGTTTTAATGAAATTTTACAACTGATCATGTTCCTCCAGTATATCGTCGTTTTGCTCAGTCGAGACGTACTTAATCAGTTTCAGATTCGAGAATGTAACGCGTGCCCCCAATTCTCTACGGATTTAGCCTTTTTCAGAGAATGGTTTTGCGATTGGGGCGACCGCCCTGCCGCCTTGGTTACGCCACTGCACATATCCCCTCGTTGCCTCGAAATAACCTGTACATGCAGTGTGCATTAGATACACAAAACCTGTTGTCTCCATTTCCATGTAATCACGTGAAAATGGGCAGTGTCACGTGTTCTGTTCTAGTTGCCCCTACTTTAAAGTTGGGTGAGCCAGAACAGTTCCAAACAGTCATGTGATCGTGTTCTGTTCCATATTCCATTAGTGTTCCCAAATCCGGGGTATTTCCGAACAGTAAATGGAGCATCTTCCTGTTATAAAGCGCTATAGATTTAGCTCATATGACTTTTTAGACTATTCGTTGCTGTATAGCGAACTCGTCAAATAAAACAGTCAATTTACAGTCACTATGCTTACGATTTTCACCAAATAATAACCGTATACGTAATAACATAATAACTCAATGTGATGCATTAATGTTACTTTCAAGTGCGAGCAAACTGAGCGCTTTAGATTTAAAACATATAATTGTCGAAATTAAGCGATATTTAGAATTTCCCATCGACTTCCAGTCATGTCAGTAAATGAGCTCACATGACTCTTGAGACCATTCGTCGATATGAAAAATGTACATAAATACAAACAAAACAGGCAATAAGGATGATTGTATTCTGTACTTACCTATCACACATTCAATGTATACAAATATATTTGAGATGAAATGTCATCAATCCCGCATAAAATAAAGTGTGAAAACAGCATAATCGAGACGTCCGTATCCTTGCATGCTCAGTCCAATTGTGATAGAAACTCGACCACCACTGCGTTAAATAATCTGCCAATGCCATTGCACGGAAGTTTGTTTTCCCCGAATTATATTTCAAGCAGGAAATGGAGAGGAACTCAGGTTACTTGGAATATGCAAAATTATATGTAGGCAAATTGCCCCAGTAAACACGAAGCTCTAGGAAAATGTTCTGTGACTGATTCATTATGACAATAACAAAAGACGTAATTGGCTTACATATAAACAAAAGGAATATTCTTCTTGCTTCGTTCTTTAGAAAATCCATTCTATAGCTTATTCTTTTGTCATTGTCATAATCAACCAATAACAGAACAGCTTCCTAGTGCTGACCCAATTAATGAGGAACTTAATTCAAAGCCAAAGGAAAATTATGTTTTAAATGACCAGGAATTCGGAGGCTCAAACTCCTGCTCTCAGCCATTTTTAGGGACGAATAGATTAGATGATCTGGAAAGTTTTTACAATCAGTCATATGTTTAAATCATCCTTTAATCCTTACTCTATTTGTCTGATTTTTATCAGAAATGTACCAAACAAGGAATTTTTATCGCTCGCGTAGACTGTTCATTTCACATCGACTTCCATTGAGTTGCCATAAATTCAGCTTACAAGACTTTTAGACCATTCAAAATTTTTTATATTTTGCTTATGGTTGCATGGTCTATGTTGTAAGTAAAATATTCCCCGTTCACGGGATCACCGTGCCGCTTTTCCAACTACACAAAGCAATAGGCTATTTTGGAATGAATTTCGTAAGCGTGTGTTGCCATAGTAACGAACTATGTGTCACAAAAACTGACATAAATTGAAAGACGAAACATAAAAATAGTTTAATGATATCCGTGTTATCTGGAGCCACTTCAATTGAGTGTTAATTTTGTCTTGATCTTTTGTGGGGGTTTTTGGCTTTCACAGCAACGTTGAAACTGTGTGCTGAACTTAAAGACCATGTCAAGTCCGTAATGTAAACAAACGGTCCCACATCCACATTCCACAGTCCCTCATCCGTTATCCGTACATTCTATTCGCACATTCCCATTAAGCCCCGCGATCCCATTGTTTTTCCACTGATCTCTATTCCAAACTGAAGCGACGAGGGACAAGGCGTAACAAAGGATTTGTTTACATATTGATCTGCTATATTCGTAAAATAAGACATATTAACTGAATATCTAACACTTTTCTGGTTCGCAATTGTAAATGAATATAAACTAGAGAACGTAATTTCAATTCAACAAAGTTCAAAAATGGTCCCCATTTGTTACGAGCAGAACTGATGCGCAGAACGGACTTGACATGATCTTTAACGATTTCTGTATGCATAATACTGTTCGGAAGCACGGTTTTTCATTTATTTCCTTTGTCAAACCTTTCCACATGTGTAAGTCTTAAAATGTGCAGCATACTGCATGCTTGCTTTGGTATGTCTGTAGGGACTGACCGAACCGATATAAAGCAATTTAATTATATACACTTTATACTTTAAAGGTGATGTAAAGTCCGTAATGTAAACAAACGCTTTGTTTACATTTTGAACTCAGTGCCACAGTTGTAAAATATGATTAGATATATATGATACTGAATTTTTAACACTCTTTACAGACTACTGACTAAAGATTCAATTCAAGAAAGTTCGGAAGGTGCAAAATATTAACAAAATTCCAATGGTCGGGTCCCTACCATTGGAATGTAGGCCTGCGCAGAACGTATGCGCAAAACGGACTTTACATCATCTATATTAATAATTAGTGCATGGCGTGTTAGAGGATCGAGTTTCAGATACTTGAGTTAGGCGAAACAGGGAAAGAGAGTCAGTGTATAAACAGTGAAGTCGGTGTGAACTGTGAATTGTGATTGACTAGTGTGACTTGTATACAGGGCCGGAATGGAAGTGCCAACGCCCTAGGAAAAGTCAAAAAAGGGGGCCGAACTTGCCCAGAAGGGGCCCTAGAATGCTGGAATTGCTGAACGTGTTAAATATTAAGGAATTTTCTGAAAAATTGAGGTCGAAAAAGGTCTGAAAAAGTATTTTTAAGCCCCCCAAATTTTTTGGGAAGTTTTGTTTTCGGAAAAAACCGTGGACAACATTTTCGGAAAAATGTTTGCTTTCCGGAAAATATTTTTGAGGGGGGTCCCCGAAAGGAAGGGGTCCCAAATTTTTGAATTCACCCCCCCCCCCAACCAGATACCGCTCGGGACGGCCCCATTTGTATAGCCCGTGCTCTAAAGCCAAGATCGTGTATTGTGATTTGTGAGAATTTTTACTTTATCATATCAACGTTATGATGTCATACAGCTGATCATTAATTAGACGAATTATAAAATAAACAATATAACAATTATTAAATTCGAAGAATTATCAAGCCGTGTTATCAACCAAAGCCGTGATAATTCTGGTCAGGCTTATTAAATAATTGGTAATTGTTTCTGCATGCTCACTCTCTACTGTTACGACCATATGAATAACGTTACTTGCAAATATTTATTTTGAAATCCAGTTTTTCGAATTTTAAATTTTGAGTTGACGTGTCCACGATCACGAATCCATGAGTCCATATTTTGTACATGCCTTTCTCTTCCCTCTACGGTCTTGTGATGGGAAATGGGAAGAGCCGGTTATATACTCTTGGACGATATCCATAAATAACATCAGCTATGCGCTAAACAAATTAAAATCATATATGGCTAGAAGATTACGCCAATGAAGTTTGTCATGCATGGGGTCATGCAGAGTTTTCATTATAAAGCTTTCTTTCAATATCCGTTCAATGTTGATAGAAAAAGAATCACGAGCCAAAGGTTCCCCACAAAAACCTGAACTTAGTAATCGATGTTCTGGGCAGAGAATGTAGTTTCACTAGTTTGGGCAGAAATTTCTGAAATAGTTGTCTAGCCATAACAATTTTTAGCAAAAAATCTGTAATAACCGGGATAGGCATGGCAAAGTGTTTTAATTACATCATTTTAGAATTATTCTTTGCCAATTGCGATATAATACTTCAGTTTCAAAAAACGGAATGTTTGTGGACGTAAGCTGTGAAGTTCTCTTGCATCCATGATAGAAGGTGACATGAATACACATTTGAGCTTTTGCGTAGCTGTATCCTCACGTACAAATTTTTTTTTATCTTGACCTAATAACAACCCTTTCCCCCAGCTAACCCTATTGTACGCAAAACACATAGACGTACAAGACGGGGGAGGGCTGATGGGGCTGCACCCTTTACAATATGTTCAAATGTGTTGGGCAGATTCCCCCAGCTACCTTTTATTTTGTCAAACTTCAATCCCCCCGCCTCCTTTTCAATATTGAGTGATTGAGTCTTACTTTGGTGCGTGGTTCGGTAAATACCACTGAATGGGAGAGGAGAGGGAGGGTAAGGGAGATATAAATGTTTGTAGTAATTTACAAATAATTATACACTGATGATCTAAACTGCAAGTGTCCCAAGAATTTTTGAAAATTATTGTATATGTGAGTTGTGTGTGAGGCTAAGAGAGCGATGCATGAGTTCGTTTCCGAATCCGGTAAAAGATCGAATCTTATAATAAGATCTCGTATATTATCGACTCGTCATAATCCCCGCAAGCAAGACATTCAGGCTTTGTCCAAATATTTTTAGTTACACATTGATTATTGACTAACGTAGTTGCAGTTTGTTATCAGAGAAACCATGAAGGCATATTCATTTATTTTCCTTGCTGTCTATCTTTGGACTTCTTCATCGACAGCGCAAGAAGCAAAACCAGTGAATATCACATTATACTTTGAAAGTCTGTGCGGGGGATGTCAATATTTTATCAAGAATCAGTACTACCCAGCGTTCAAGTCCATTGGCAGTATCATGAATGTACATTTGGTGCCATATGGAAACGCAGATGAAACAAAGAAGGGCGGAAAGTGGGTTTTCACCTGCCAACATGGCAAAGAAGAATGCATTGGGAATTTGATAGAGACTTGTGCTATACATTTTTACCCGAATGCCAGTGTTTACTTTCCGTTTATCCACTGCATTGAAACATCAGGGAAAATTCCCCGCAAGGCTGCCCCATCATGCGCCCAAAAATTCAGCCTCGACTACTCGAAAATAGAGTCTTGTGCAAACGGAGATCTTGGTAACAGCCTTGAACACAAAATGGGGTTGAAGACAGAAGCTACAAAACAAACCTATGTACCTTGGATAACCTTGGAAGGTGTTCATACGGAGAAAATACAGAATCAAGCAGAGAACAATTTGGTTAAATTGATTTGTAAGACATATAAAGGCAGCCAAAAACCCCAAGCATGTCAGGAGTATCGGAGTGAGGGATTTATTCAACGATGCTGGAAGAATCCAAGCAAGATTGAAGATGTCGAGAACAACAGTATTCACATAACAAACTAATTATTATGTTCGTCTGATCACTCAAGGTCAAATACGTCAGAATGTTTGTGCATCAAATTTCAATTTATAATCAAAGGAAATTAACTTTTTTTTATATTGCCCATATGTTATAACATATAAATATTTACATAAAAGAAAAATAGATTAATGTTATGGTAGGGTCCTACCGGAAACCTTATAAACAGGCTTTTATTTAAGACCCCTATAGTTATAAAATTTAGATGCTAGTTCTAACTACAGACTATACAGTCAACCAAATTTAAAATATATTACAACAAGTATTATAGTTAAAAGAAAAGAAAGAGAGAAAATGTGAAAGCTATTTACAGCATAAATAGAACATTACAGCAAATAAATAGAAATTTACAGCATTAATACTATTCTAAATTGAACAATTAAACTAATTAATTAAGTACTAGTGGAATAACAATATAAAGTATCTTGTAACTTATTTTTTAGTCTCGTTTCCTATCTGCAACATAACCTATGTTATTATGCAAAATGCAAAGTCTTATAAGTTAGATTCTGATGGGCATAGCCTAACCTGCGAAAGGGCATGCTCTGGGTACGAGAATGCGTCTTCTGAGACAAAATTATTACACAGTTATTACAGATTATTTAAACACAACATACAAAACGAATTAACCAATCAGATATCTGCCTGCCGAGCTACAGTAGCATTTCGCAGGTCACTGGTTCTCTGGGTTCGAAATCCAGAAACGTCAGGCAGGCAGAATTTTCTGCTTAAATCTGTAACACCTGTGTAATAATTTACTCTGTGATGACGTAGTTACAACGTAAGGTTGACAGGTAAATCAGTAAATATTCTTATAAAATGCCACTGCTTGAATCCTTGAAAGTTATATCCAATTCTTACTATAAACTTCTTTCATCTGTTTTGCATTCATGTCATCTCATACGAGTTCATAGAGTCTGTGGCGAAGATAATTCGTTTGATGTAAGATAAGTTTGCACCCCCAGGCCTAAAGGCCCGTTTGCTGCGATTTTAGTTGCGATTTTCTCTTTTTGGAGGATGTGAAAGAGTAGTTGAGTTATAAATGTTCCAGGTTATGAAATCTTATAACAACATCTTAATTAAGTAATCTACTCCTTCACATCCTCCAAAAGGAGAAAATCGCAACTAAAATCGCAGCAAAAATCGCCTGTGTAAACGGGCCTTAATTTAATGAGTAAATTGCAATAGGAAATCCGCTCTAGCATAAGATTGACTGGGATTTGCCTGTTATTGGAGTGGGAAAATGAGACTTGGGTCACTGGGAGTGGGAATGACTGACACAAAAATGAGAATGAGAAAACCCATATACCATAAAAAAAACAATTGTTATAGTTGGACCTTCAGAATTTAAATTACTTCAAGAAAAGGTACTGACAGACCAACTTTTGATTGAGAGGCAGGTCCAAAAGTCAACTTCTCAACCCTTAAAATCATCAGTTAAGCAGGCTATAAACATTGCCCACATTTTGCATCTTTCGAACTTTTTTGAATTGAAACGTACAGTTTATATTCATTTACAAGTATAGCGAACCAGAAAAGTGTTAGATATTCAGTTAGTATATCATATTTTACAAATTTATATCATATTTTACACATATAGCAGTTCAAAATGTAAACAAAGTTCGCGCATGTGCACAGGAGTGGACATCATCTTTAAGAATCACACTCAAACGCTGGAAGTTGTATGAAAGATAAGTGGATAATTATCCTACAAGTCTTATCTGATGGATATATATCTTCCTTTCAACATTTCATGAACAAACAGCGACTGTATGTTGTGTTTATATCTGGTTTTAATTTATGTAGTTTTATTATTTTCAGTCAAATGCACGAAAGAGTAAATATTTTGTTTCCGTGACCTTGAACACTTTTCATCACAACCAAAAGTACAATCCGGCATTGTGTGTTGTAATAAATAAAAGCGGGAAATTTATTTCCAAAACTTACAAACTATATAAAAGAAGGACCTGAAGAAAATGGCAGTCAACCCAGAGCACGTGAACATCTGAAGTGAACACTGAACTTTCGGCATGGGTTTAGAAACTTTGTTGTTCGCAACCAGATACGGCATACCCCGGATACCCGTCAATCTAAAAGAGACGCCTGAGAAGGAAGCTATAGTGGAAGCTACAGCCTCCTGGCGTCAGAATAATATTCTCAAAGGACAGAGGAAATTAGTTAGCTATTTTTTTAATGCATCTATTGGTTGAGAAATATATAATAATAAAAAATTGTCAATTAAAATACAATTAGGGCCTACTTCCCCGCACGCGTTCGCCAATAACCCTTAGAATTGCTTACGCACTTTTCAATCCATCAAAACATTAGGTATACGCCAGTCTAGTTCCAGGCTCTCACTCTATTCGCTCCTTTGATATATTTAAATAAGTCTTAAAAGTTTTATGCCTGGGTAGCAGATTTCGGTAAAATGGTCCCTGATTTCAAAAAAGTGGTCCCTGGCCTGGTTACCAAGCATACCGCATTTGTAAATAGAAAATGTTATGGACATTTCCTTTGCGTTTATAATTAAGTCATTAGTTTTGCTCTAATGCTGTCGGAACAATGACTAATAGGCTACGTTTCGCTACCATACGGTCAGAATGGAATAATGGGATAAATATGACTTAGGCCTGTTTCAAACGTCGCTCTTCTCATGTGCCGAACGCATTAGAAACAATAGATATTAAATGAGGCAGTTCAGCTGATTATCTATTGTTTAGTGGTTTTTAGTGGTTAGGGGTTAGAGGTTAGGCGTTAGAGGTTGGGGTTGGGGTTAGGATTGCTCAGGTATGTACCTAGCACAGGTACTACCCGCATTCTAAAATTTAGAACACTGGGTAAGTACCCATTTAGAAGTAGCGAGACGGTTGGTTCTGAAGCACCTTTAGCGGTGACGTCACACCTAGGTCCCAGTCTCGTACTGCATCCACGTTTTTTCTCGCGCTTGCTTTAGAACGACTGGGACTAGGCTGGGTATACGCAATGCAATGCGGGATACATTTTGTCAAATATTTATTGTCTGACAATGACGTGCGTATAAGGACTTCTAAGGTCAAGGGAATGGACTAGAGGCAGGTTTTCAAGATGGCCGCCAGTTTTTAAGATCATTAAAACGTAAAAGAATCAACAACCAGCCACTTGCAACAATACTAAACCCTCACTAACCCTAATACTCTTATTTCAATTTTGGAATCATCTTGTGAACTACCTCTCGTCCATCCCTTTTAGACACTACCCTAAGGTCAATTACCTCAAGATTTCCTTATATATAAACGAAGTAACATAAAGCCCATAAAGCCTCTGCGGAAGAGAATGCCACAATTATCAATCATATTCACCTGAGTACATAACACCAACACCGTACACACACACAATAGCGCACTAAAGCCTGCCGGGTTTCTATATGGTCGCAATGGTCGTAAAATTAAGAGCCATGATCTTTCAATGGCCAGTTTATAATAGTTTATACTTGTACACCACATACAAATTATAAGTATTCTCTAGTTATAATCACTCCATGTGTTTTCAGTCCTAAAATGACAAAATGTTGTATATTTCGGCTGATGAGAAACTCAGAGAAAGATCGTTACGACCATATGGAAACCAGGCTTAAACATAAATTTTTATATACTTAAACAAACTAAGTTTGTTTACAGACTGAAACCCACATTCATAACCCACACTCGTTGGTTTAACGTTTGAGCGGGTGTTGCGTATAGCATGCAAAATATCTCCTGTTAATATACCTGGCTAAAAATGGTGACGAGCACTCAATTCTACCATCAACCGAATAAGGATATGATGATGCCGATGTACGATCACATGCATGGCGGCCTAGTCACATGTGTTTATACATATCCGGGCAATTGTTGATCTTTGCAAAATATTTCCCAACAGACACGAAGGATTTTGCAAACACTACTGAGTGTTTATTTAAACCTTATTTAAACCAGTGTGCTTACCAAAGCATACTCATCTTTTGCACAAGCCAGAGTGCTGCGGTTTTTGCCTCGCTATATTTCAGAAAAGATGAAGACTAATAATTTCGGCTTCTTCCTCGTTGTGGTTTTGATTGGGATTTCTACAGCACAGCCGGTGAATTTCACATTATACTATGAAAGTCTGTGTGGAGGCTGTCGAGATTTCATTAAAACACAGTACTACCCAACATTCAAGTTAATTGGCAGTATCATGAATGTACATTTGGTTCCATATGGAAATGCAGTGGAGACACAGGAAAGTGGCAAATGGGTCTATGACTGCCAGCATGGCGAGGAAGAATGTATTGGGAATTTAATCGAGACTTGTGCAATGTACTTCTACCCGAATGCAAGTGTTTACTTTCCATTTATCCACTGTATTGAAACATCCTCCCTGGCCCCAAGAATGGCAGCCCCTTCGTGCGCGCAACAATACGAACTTGATTACTCCACGATCCAGTCTTGCGTGAGCGGAGATCTTGGAAACAGCCTCGAACACAAAATGGCGTTGAAGACGCAAGCTTTGAACCCACCACATTCATATGTACCCTGGATGACTCTAGAAGGTGTTCACAATGACCAAATACAGAACGAAGCAGAGTTTAACTTGATTGGCTTGATTTGTGGGGCATATAGAGGCAGTCCTAAACCTCAAGCATGTGAAGAATATCAAGACAGAAAGCTCATTCAACACTGTACGAAAAAGCGCAGCCGTTTGGAAGACACAAATATTAACATTAATTAATTTTGTCTATCAGAACCGAAAACGTTTAGTAGCTTTTAGTACTCATGATCATACAGTTTAATGTGAGACTGAATTTTGAAATAAGAGTTCAAATATTCATAAATCAATAACTGCAACCGAGACTGAACAAATTATAATGTATCTATATATGTGAAATAAAACTAGTAAAAAACGAAACGTGTGTGTGTCGAATGGGAAATAAATCTACTCAGGTCAACAAGAAAACGAATTCTACGACACCCTCATATAGGAAAATCAAAATTGTTGCAGTACTTTCATAACTTTTTGTGACGTCATAATTACGCGATATCAAGAATTATATATAGCAGATTGTATAAGCAATGTGTGATAAAATCACGTGAGGTACGGCTAAAGTAACAGAAATCTACTTGAATAGGCCTGAATAGACAAACTTAGCTAATTGTTTGTTTATATCCAATTCATAATTTTACATAACCCACATACCAGTCTTGATCAAAAGCTTGTTGCACATTTTATAACTATGACAACTCCCGTATTCAAGCGGTTGTTTCGGTCACCGACACATTGTGCCAGAATTCCAGCCATTATAGTTGCATAAAACAACATTGTTAGGTCGTGTCAAAGTTCAATTTTTCTGTTTGCCGATTGGTCAGAACCGTATCACGTGACGGTCTGCCACAAAACGTCGTGTTCACTGCATGCTTTGGCGAGGGGGCAACCGGTCGTCCGTCCACAATGAAATAATTTTTGACAAGTCAATAATATAATCCGAACAGTGGGCATGCGCGTCGACCGTGAAGTTCCAAAGTTCGTTAATTTTATTAAACTTTTCGATTAATGATGCTGTATAAAGTTTGTTCTGTGCATCAGGGGCGTAACTTGAGGGGGTATGGGGTGTGTGGCACCCCCCCCCCCCCAAATTCGAATCATCCCGATTGGCAGGGCAATCAAAAATTTTTAATGATAGAATGTAGAGTTATTAAATAACTTTTTACAGCTAGCAAACACTGATAAGCAGTTCGTATGCATATGATTGGCATCGGCAGTTCAATTATACACTTAGCTTAGTGATGTATTGTATTAGCCTTTAAGAAAGACCCTGGCTGGCTGGCTGGCTGGCTGGCTGGCTGGCTGGCTGGCTGGGATCGAGGTTGAGTGAACCAGAAGGGTGTTAAAAATTCATTATAATATATATCTAATCATATTTTACCACTGTAGCACTTAGTTCAAAGAGACCTCGAGAAGCAGTGTGTTTTGTGCCCCCTCAACAGGCGGTCTCGGTCCACAAAACACACTGTTAATTCCCTCAGTCTCAGTAAATAAGTGTTAATTAAAAAGGAGAGATAGGGGAGGAAGTGATATATAATGAGAAAAACGCCCGTCATGCTATGGTTTTTGCCAAGATCGTAGTTATTATTCGATTCTAGTTTACAGAAAAATGGAATACTGATGAAGGTAACTAACGTGCATCCATGAATGCACATTTCATCATTATCCCACTGAGTTAACTCCTATACATAATTCTACTGCTTACCTTTGTCCTACTAGTAGCTACTACCTACTTACCTTTGTCCTGTTTGATGCTTCTGTAAACTAGAACAATATAATAACCAGTAATGTGAGTTATATAAAGTTACAAAAAAATTGCGCAGCAACGAGCTCGACGTAAACAATTTTAGCCAAAGTTGTCGGCTATGAGTACACAGTACACGTATCTGGCCAGCATTGAGTCATTCCCGACATGGCGAAATATTTGTAGGAACAAGGAAATTAAGGAAAATTTTCCAAGGGCGCATAGGAATACATACCCCCCCCCCCACCACCACCAATTTCAGGAATACATAACATACCCTAATTTGTGCATGAAAGGTTTGACTCCATCAAATTCTTGTGCGGTGATATTTTACAAGGTGTAAAGTTCGCGCGAGTTCAAGTACTTCTTTTTCTTTGGGAGGGTACAAAAGCTGGACGTCGACCCCCTCATCTGGACCCCATCTAGACCCCTTTCTGGGCCCCCTTCAAGACCTCTAAGAATATAAAATAAAGTCAAAATAGAGATTAAAATAGACATATGATATAAATAATAATACGATTTTCATAAATAATAGATTTTAATTTATGGAAGTAGTTGCATGGGCCCAGTTGCAAAGTAGTCTTTTGTGCAATAGGTTAGGCATGTCACTACTTTATATTAGATCAAAAGAATAATTTCGGCCATGGCAGGGTAGGGCATATTTTCAGTTTAGGGATAGTGCGTATTTAGCATTTTTTTGTTATTATCGTGGGTCCACTATCTCCTTGCAAAATGAAGCAATATCAAACCTATAAGTTTAATATCCATCGCTTCTCGGAGATGCACGCGCTAATTTTCATACTCTTCATCAGACGATTCTGCGCTAACTACGGGCATATGTTTTTAATAAATTCATCAGCCGGAAAATTAAAATTATTCTCAAGGACGCCGGAACTGGAGGGCAGGAGGTGCAGCCACCCCCGTTGCCCTTTACCAGGAGGGGCAAGGGGGGCAAAGGTGCCCCTTCAATTTAAAGGATTGCCTTGGCGAAATAGCGAATTGTCAGAAATGTTAGTGCAATTCTTTTACGAATTTGCTTCGCAAGAAATGCAGTCATCGAGCTTCAGGAATAGCGCAATCGCCTGGCCGAGAACCCCCACACACCCCTATCATCCAATAAATAGAAAACATGATTAGGCGAAGTTCAACTCCCAATGTTTTGCAAAGATCTCTTAGTATATATCAATTCAAAATTGCCCTTTCACGAAAATCTGCCCCCCCCTTGCCTTCACATCGTTCCGGCGTCCCTGATTATTCTCACTATAAAAAACAAGGTGCTATAAATTTGTTCCCCGACCCGCCAAGTTGTTTGAAGAGCCTGCGATCCACTTTATAGGTGACATATACGTTTGCTATTACTTCATCTTGCAGGGAGATAGTGGACCCACAATAATGACAATGATAATAATAAAAAATGCTAAATAGTCTAAATATGACGCACTATAACCCTAACCCTAACTCAAAATATGCCCTACCCTGAAAATGTCTTATAATTTATATCAAATATTTATTTTAATCACTATTTTGAATTTATTTCATATTCTGAGAGATCCTGATCTCTTTTGAGTGCTAGTTAGTTGACAATGTAAACCAACATACAAAATTTCCCATGGGACAAGCTCCCCAGCCTCCCCCGCCCATGCATCCCCCGCCGCATCTTCTGGCATAAAGTCATGTTATGTAAAACGTATTCCCAGTAAAATTAAAAGGTTAAATCCCAAAGTCTTCATTATAGTCTTTCTACAGGTCCAATGGTGTTGGAAATTATGCATTATATCAACAGTCCAGTTTCAATTTGAGTTCATCAACCCTATGTATAGAGCGGAAATGGACTAGAAACTAGGCATATCAAAATAGAATCACAGATAGACAGAAATGATTTCTAACAGTCTATAAACAGTAAAACAGTGGAATTATTATTTCTTTTACTACTTAATAATGAATTTTGACAATGATCAAATGTAATCAGAAATAGGTTGATGTCAACAGCATAAAAAACAGGTTAGTTTGTTATGTAAACCTTGTCGAATATTCATTGTTTTATACATGATTGTTTTATGACTTGTACATGGTCAGGAAGTTGATCAAAAATTTATCTGAATTCACTGATTGAAACGTATTTCGATTAATTGTGGCTTGTAGTGAAGATCAGTGTGGATTTTTATTCATAGAACAAATAAAGTGTCAATTTATATTGATCATGAATTAACTTAATGTCCTTTATTGACTTTATTTGTTACAAATTTTATATAATTTGCCAAATACTTATATTGCAGTGTCATGTCAAATGAATATTCAAAATTAGCTCGCTGCACATACTAGCGGGCAACTTTATATAGAGCAATCTTTATAGGAAACACAACTACAGTAGAACCCCACTAACTCGAGCTTGCTAACTCAAACTCCTCAAACAAAATCCAGTGTTGTAACGAGTCACCAACAGCTCAAATCACAAGTCGAGTCACTCAAAGGTTGAGTCACAACTCGAGTCATTTCAGTTTCTGATCGAGTCGAGTCAGCGGCTTCACTCGAGTTGAGTCACTGGTTTAATTCGAGTTGAGTCATGATAGCTATATACCCTGGTCCCAGAGGCTCTTTGTGAGGCGAGAAGACGAGAGGCGAGAAGGAAGAGCCTCTGGTCATGTCAGTTGCAAACCCCACTTCCACTTGGTTCAGAATTTGAATCTCGCATGTGATTAGCCATTTGTAAAAATATGTCAAACCGGTTTGGGAAATAAACATTACTGTAAGCTAATTATAGCTATTGGACAATTAATTACATTTTCTCTTGGTCACATTTACTTGGTTAACTTGAACAGTATTTTTGAGACTTAGATCGACAAACCTCGATTTATTAATAAATGTCAGAAACATAGCACATTCAGTCATTCACAAGTCGGAAGCTTGCATTTCTATTCAGACAACAACAATTTAATTGGTATATAATATATACAAATTATGTTGATCATTACTGATCTAGCTTATAGATATTTTTGGTAGGTACTGTACTATTAAACACTGATAGGCCACTCTTTAACTTAGGTAACTGTAGTACTACTGTAATGGCTCACAATTGTGATGGATAATAAAGCAACTATACCTTATTAATCATTAACATAATCAATTTTTAGTTTTACTGTATTTAGAGCGTCTACTAACTCAAGCTGTAATGTAACCTATAACAAATCAACTTACCGAGTAGCAAAACGGTAAGCACAAAGTAACATTTTTGTAAGCACTTCAGTGTTCAGGAGAGTGCAAATTGAGTATTGATTTTTATAAGCAAACCGTATCTCAATATCGTGTTATTCTATCAAGTTGCTAACAATCAGTTTAAAAAGTAGCTAATAGAAATTCGCTGTTTGAAAAGTAGTCATTACAACTACAGTACTGGCTACTTTTAGAGTTTGTTATATAGTACAGTTACTGTTTTGAAAAAGTAGTCGAAAACTACTGGCTACTTGAAAATTGTAGTTCGCTACAGTAGCGAACTACAACTACTTCGTTATTACCCACCATTGAACATAATAAACAAAATGCAACACTGACCCTATTAACTCGATCGAATACCCAATCACTCTGGCCATTTTTTTACGCCTCCCTTGGGAGTTTGAGTTAGAGGCCAGGGCTCTACTGTACCTGAAAATATTAAATACAAGAATACTTTACATAGAATGGATCAACTGTAAGATTCCCTATAAGTAAATACCTCCAGCCCTCTTAATTATGAAAAAGAAAAAATGTAAATAAATTTGTTATATGGGTGAATTAAAGTTTAAAAAGCAGTATATAACTGACTTATGTTGAACAAATCTCATATATTAATATACAGTATTTTTATCAGGGTATACTCCAATTCATGAATTAAAAAAGTCTGGATGCGATAATTTACATACTTACGTACGAGACATACACCAATATTACAGTCTGGTACTTCTTTGTTTTCAGCCAAGTACCATGCACATACTGTAGGTATATGGGATTCTCACTATATGTGTACTTACATTGTGCTAGTGCCATATATCGCCATTACAGCAAACTTTCTAACATTTGCGTGGTGCCCTGGAAAATGCACAAAACAATTCCATCACATATTTTAGTTGCAACACAATATAATCCCCCTATGAAGTATATGTGCTGAATTACATATTTCAGACACACCGATTTCCATATTCTCTCAGATTATCAGAATTGAAGGAGCTAGTCGCTGTGTACAAAATGCTTCAAAATGCCTCTGAACCTAATTGGCAAAGTGGACTTTCTCTTGTAATTGTATTTTTCACAGTATACCAACTGTAAAAGGAAGAAAGTTCTTAAAAACCTGTTTAAAACAGTTATATTTTTGCTTGAACTGTCTGTGCTAGTGTAGGCAGTGCCAATAATATTAACAGTCTTTCATTGGTAGCTGGATCAACGAAGGGCCTTTGGTCGAAAAATTTAAATTCTCCTTACCAACAAAAGTTTGTTTATATTTTTGCTGTCTGTTATAGTATTACATAGTGTATAGACATGCAGGTATGTCATTAAGCTAGGGGGAAATATCACGAACTCATTCTCATCTTGTTTTATCTTGAGTTTCAAGATTCTAATCTTCAAATTGTGTTAATTTTGTTTTACACTTTTTGAAATTGTTGACTGGTATTGGTTTCTGATATTAGATTACCCAGTTTTTTAAATACCTTATATGCATTTACAACATATAGTATCTTCTTAAATTACAGAACCAAGTCGCCTGAATAGAAAACAGACATGGATTTCAGTGACTTGATGAATATTGCTTCAAACAATCAAGTAAACACAGTCAACAAGGTGGGTTTAAGTAAATTAGAAAAAATAATGGCCTGATCATATACTGTATATAGGCCATAGACCATAGGTAGTTGGGCTGAAGAAAAGCTTTATGACCTTGCCAATCTGGTTACTGGAATGGAGTAAAGAAACCGAATTTCGGATTTTGCGATTTAATTTAACAATTCTTACTCAGTTTTATGTCAGTTTTACTGTATCTTTTAGGTTAAAAATAAAAAGTCCAAAGATGGTAGTTCAAGCCAAGTATCAAGTGCAGCTGTTAAAGCTTTCTTAGATCGACAAAAGGCAGAGAAAGCGAAGCAGAAAGGTTGGTTTTTAAGACAGAAGTGTGTGATAGCTGTTTATATAGATAAATTATCATAGTTTATATATTGTTTTCAGTGTGACACCACGGCTCAGTCAGCCAGTCTAGTAAACTACATGTACAGTATGTTGCCCACCTAATTGCCCATAACCAAACCTAGTTACAATAGATGATTCCAACACCGCGGAAAAACGTCTGCGCATGCGTCAACCTTACCTGTAATAGTATTGCGAACTTGATGAGAAGCTGTTCCGAACGTTTCCGAAGGCTCAAAATGGCGGTAAATAGGAGTGACTTCATTGTGCGTCTTTACAGCCAGATTTCAAGCGCAAAAATAAACATGTCATTCTAAAAACTAGAAATAAATACAGCCAGAAGGTTCAAGAAATTGTATTGTACAAGAACATGAACTAAAGGTGATTGTTGACAAATTTATCGTCTGAAACATTTTGTTTATCAACTAAGCAATGACAATTTCCGAATTTTCGTTTGAGATACATTTCTTTAAAAACAACTGTGTCGCCAAATATAAAAAATTTGCGTGTTCACAATAATTAAACTTTAGGATTTATTCTACAATTTGAGTGGGTTAAGAAGCTTAACTTTTCGAGAGTTTTCTTAACTTTTGAGTTTGAATTTTTGTTTTGAATAATTTTGCAAAAATTTTCGAAGTCGTGTCCGTTAAAATCAACATTTTTTTACATGAATTATATTTCATTCCATACTTTAAATGCCAGGACGCGTTCAATTAATGTCTAGTATACCCATTTGCTATATTTTCTCGTTTGTTTTACTAATTTTTGACCAATTAAATAAGCATGTTTTTGTTTTAGAAATTGATATTCAAATTCCCCGCCATATTTTCATAATTTGGTGCATGCGCAGACGTTTTTCCGCGGTGTTGATGATTCCAGCTATAAACTAAATTCTCATCTACGCGAGAAGAACAAAATCCATCACCACAGCTAGAACGAGCATGTTAAAATTAGTAAAATTGCAGTTTGGCCGCGCGAATTGTTGTAAAATGAGGAAAATATACTAATATAGCCCTGTGAAGTTCGCAAATTTTGTATTAATTTGTATTACGCGCGGGAAAATGCACCACATTTGGGCCGAAAGTGGTGCATTTTCCTGTGCGTAATACAAATTAATACAAAGTTTACAGATTTCGTAGGGCTTTATTTTCCTCATTTTACAACAATTCGCAACCAAACTTTGCAATTTTACTAATTGGAACATGCTCTTTCTAGCTGTTGTGACAGATTTTGTTCTTCTTGTATACAGTAGATCAAAATTAAGTTCTTTGTATGTTTGCATGGCGATAAAACATATAATAGTTTTGTTTGTGGAAACACCACGTAAATTTATTACTGCAAAGCTTTCGATCCGTAAGCCCGGATCTTCATCAGTGCTAATAATATGTTCTGATGAAGATCCGGGCTTTCGGATCGAAAGCTTTGCAGTAATAAATTTACGTGGTGTTTCCACAAACAAAACTGTTATAGATCAAAATTAGTTGGAATTATCCATTCATATTATTCTGACACTGCACACTGTTAATTTCAGGTATTTAATTTAATAATTTAACTCCAGTGGAGTGAACCAAATTTAACTTCAAATGTGGAGTAAAATTGGATTCAATCCAATTTTACTCCACATTTGAAGTTAAATTTGGTTCAAAATAATACCAAAAGGGAGTTAAATTGACTCCCTGAAATTAACAGGGCAGAGAAGCGAAAAATTCGTTGTCTGGAATGAATAATATTCCACTGGTTTAGGTCCTAGCTGATACAATCTGTATTTTTGAAAAGTCAGTTACTGTATACAGGGTGTATAAAAAAGTAATCCAACTTTGGCATGTTATCTTGTGTGAGATATTAAGTTTATGGATTTACTTTTTAATACTAAATAATTAAGGTCAGGCTTTTACTGTAGCTCTCAAAGATACCTTTTTGTATCTGCATGTGCAGATATAATTATCTGCGCATGTTCTATGTAGCCTGCGCAGCAGTCGCTTTATTTTATTGAAGGTTTTGAGGGGTTTTGAATAAATGGCAGGTTAGAAAAAATGGGCGATGAAAAAAAGGGCGAGAAAAATTTATTCAAATATCCTCAAAACCTTCAATAAAATAAAGTGACTGCTACGCAGGCTATCTGCGCATGCAGATATAATGCTACTCTTGTTAAAGTGCCTATATCACTTTTATATCTTGTTATTTTATATCTTGTTATTCATATCTTGTTAAAGTGCCTATATCACCTTTACGGATTTGAAAAGAGCGTAAAAAGTTAGTTAATAAGTTCAAAAGCTTTTTTTGATTTAGTGCAATAATTTCGAAGATACATGTCTCTAAACTACCTACAATTCCTGAGTCCCAGGCTCCTATGCACAATGGACAGTTTCGAAAAAGGCCAAATTCAATAGCTGTGTTTACACCCCAAGAGGCTGGGACTCAGGGACAGTTCGTTGTTTAAAGGCCTACAGTATATCCTCAAAACTATTGCACTAAATCAAAAAAGGCTTTAGAACTTATTGACGAACTTTTTAATCTCTTTCCAAATCCATAAAAGTCCCACAAGTGATATAGGCACTTTAACTGTTAGGCTAACAGCAACCCTTGGCCAATCAGCGACATAGAGAATTGCGTCATTATTTCACTAAGTCTAAGAAATACGTCATTCATGAAATTCAACATGATGAGTAAAATGTGATAACTAAGTAGTTAACTCTATTTTCCCCCGGACAATATTTGCCAATAAGCCAATACTCCATTACATTTGGCAATACCACAACACATCCCTAACATCTAGATTTTAACTGTAGTTTGACTTGGCGATAAATTTACCTTGGTCGCACCCAAGCATGATACTCTGCAATTATTGACATTAGAATGGGTTACTTCCTTTGGAGATCTAACTCAGAATACGTCTATATTTTCATCTCTTCATGGATTAGGTCTTCAAAGTGCTTAACTTAATATGTAATGAAATTTCATACTATTTTTTATGATTGCATTGCAAAGAAAACTCAGAGTGACTGAATAAGATAATTTGCCAAACTATTTCAGTTCGCTTCGTTCTTGAGGTATTTAACAAATTTTGATATGCAAGTTATCCTCATTATGTCATATTGCCCAACTTCAAGATCGTGGGATATTCTGTATCGAAATCATAAAACCGTGCATATGTGTTATGTCCACATACCACAAATATATGTTATATTTCGACGAATTTGAATCAATTATCTACAAATGTTATAAACGTTTTTTCAGACAGCCATTATGCAATTTAACGCCATAATGAGGATAAATACCGTAGTACCGTGGTACTATAGTGCCATAGTAAACTAGTACCATAGTACTATAATACTATAATACTATAGTACATTGTACCATATTACGATTGCACTATAATACCATAGTACCGTACTGTAGTACTATAGGATCGTAGTATCGGATAATACCGCACTAACACAGTACCATAATACCGTACAGTAGCGTAGTACTATTTAACAATTAGTCACCGAAGGCGAGGTAATTACAAGCCTATATTCACTGAGCTGCGAAGCAGCGAAGTGAATATAGTCTTGTGATCACCGAGCCTGAGGTGACTAATTGTTTTAGTGTAAATTCAGTGTTGAAAAATAATAATATATACAAACGTTGTAAATATAATTTTTTCTTCGATGATTTGTTTGCAAGTGGATTTTCGGCAACCATTTTGTTTTGAAAGCAGTAGTTACTGCTCAGAGCAGCAACTATTGCCTCAGAGTTACTGCTGAGGGAACCAAACAGAACGCTTGAAAGCCATTTTTCAATACTGAATTTATACTAAAGTACAGTGGTACACCACTGCCGTAGTACTGTAGCACCATTGTACGGTAGTGCCATAGTACCAGAGTACTTTAGTACCGTACTACCATAGTACCCTAGTACTATAATAGCGTAGTACTTTAGTACCACACTGCCATAGTACCCTTACTAATACTATAATACCATAGTACCATAGTACACTATTACCATAGTACCATAGTACACTATTACCGTGGTACCGTACTACCATAGTACCGTATTACCATAATACCGTAACACCATAGTACCATAGTATCATGATAGTACCACAGTATCGTAATACCATTTAACAATTAGTCGCCAAAGGTGAGGTGATTACAGGCCTATATTACGGTCGCGTTTAGTGCAAATAGCAGTCTTTAGTAGGAGGTACAACTACCTGAAAAATGCAAAAAGAACTTCGACGTCTGGAGCGAAAGCCGTTCGTCTGGAAGTTATTAGCCAACTAGACAAGACTTTTTGTCAAGACAAAACATTTATCTGAACCAAAGAATGTCTCCTACAAAAGGCTGCTGTATAGATTACTTACCTCCATCTTGTATTTGATAATTTGGGATATTATAAATTCCTGCATGATCCAGTGAATGTCCATTCTTTTTTTATTTAGAACAAGATGAAGCCGCTAGACGAGCAAGAATACAAGCAAGACTGCAGGGGAAACAATTGGATAAATCTAAAAACAGCAAGAAACCCGAAGATTCGCCAAATGATTCTGTTGATCAGAAGCAAACATATTCTAAAAAAAATCGAAATATACCTCCAGCACAAGATTTAACTACTTCCACATCCAAAAACCAGTCCAAACATAATTCGACTCAAAAGAAACGAACCGACGTGGAAAGAGTAATTGTAAAATCCAAAGAAAAGGAAAAGGTGATGAAGAAGAGGCCGGAAGAAAAAACTAAACCTATTGAACAAAAGAAACCGGTTGCTAAAGTTAAGAAACCTGCTCAACCAGTTATGAGTTTTCAAGAGTTAATGAACGTTGCTAAAAAACAAGCGGATAATCCCGACGCGTTCCGAAATATCACGCCTGCTAACGGGCCAAAATTTGGACAAAATATTGAGGAGAACTCTCCAGCACACAACCGATCAATGGAGGATAAACGAAAAAAGGAAATTCCAGATGAAAATAATAGAGTTACTGGGAAAACTAATCGAGAGAAGACCACTATTTCACAAAACAAACAAAATGTGAAAACTCGAGAAGGGAAATTATTAGATACTGCTAAAAGAAAGAAGCCGGAAAGTCGAGATCGGAAACAATTGGAAATGCAGAGCCGAAAATTACCGTCGAAATGCGCTGGAAATAATGATAGAAAGTTTCCCGGTAAAGCAGAAATACATGCAAAACGTAAGTCGTTGGAGAAACCCAAAATTATGACTATAGAACGTGAAACAATATCTCAAAGGGAATATGGGTCGTCAATGAAGTACCGTGAGTCTAAAGAACATTTTAAACGCAAAAGGCGTCCTAATCCGTGTGATGAAGATGAGTATGATGATGAGATGGATGAATTCATTGATGATAGCGAGGAAGCTCCTGAAACTGTTTCTAGCTACATTAAGGAAATTTTTGGATACGACAGAAACAGGTAAGTTCAAGATAAACTCTTCAAGAAACTACGGGACCACCGTAAGAGACTACTGTAATTGGAACCTGTGATGGCTTTCCTAGTCTGCGTAGACTTAAGTTGAATAAACCATAAACCATAATTTTGTTGTGAATCTGACCACGTCAAGCAAACTTTTCCAAGGTATTCAAAACCATAATTAAGTAGCTATACAGCTAATTCAAAAAAGGTTGTCATGCAAACTTCTTAAATCTTCACTGTTGAGCGCGCTCAGGATGCTGAGTAACTTCCTATTTAGAGTCTAAAAGACTAAAACTTAGACTCTTAGTCACAATGCTAAAGCATATATGATAAACACTGCAACAATGCCAAAACATATGATAAACACTGACAGTGTAGAGGTACTTGTTCACTAAGCTAGTTTGTCCAATCAAAGGCTCTAAATAAGCAATACCCATCATCCCTTTCGCGCTCAGTGTTTAAGGTTCAAGATTTTTGAACGACAACCTTTTTTGTTGCATGCCATATATGGCATGCAACTTTCACATAGCTCTAAATTTCATGTCGTCGTGAGCGGCGCTATGGCGGTGAGTGAGCGTACCGGTGGTCGTAAATCACGTGGCAGATTCGTAAAATACGACAGATACCGAGTTTTCCGACGACCATTTTCATGTGATGTGAATCACTCATGCACGTTTTCGTTCATGGTTTTCGTCGAGGAAACGCAAAAAAATATTCATTGTTCGCCGAAAATTTACATAATTGAGCGCCTTAGAAATATAGATCGAGGTAGGTAAAGCTTTGCTGTTTTTAATTTACTTATATTCTGTTATTTATTGTGATTTTGGAGCCGTTGTGCTCGCACTGATTATATTGTGTGCAAAACTTCAAAACTACAGCACATAATACTATTGAAATTTAATACAACGAAATAACAATCTACTTCGGTAAATTCAATCATAGTTTAATAATTATTTTCAATCTATTATATAGTAATTCACCGTTTCCACGGGTTTTTGTACCTTAAATAAAGCTATATAGATTTGTAGGAAATATCATTATTTAGCAGAGAATTTGTAAAGGAAATCTAACAGTCAATCGCTTTCGATAAAACCTTGACCTTGTTATTACCGCCCCTTCCAAACAACGATGAACGGTTGCTCATAAAAACATTGCCTATTCGCGTGAGAATCTTAAGTTTCCTTATTTTGACATAATAGCTAGCGCTATTTTTCAATAAATATATTGATAGTAAACTTATTGAATCAATATTTTAAATTCCAGGCCAGTTGTACCGAAAGTTTACAGTCGATTTCACGAAACTTTGACCACAAATGTTTCGAACTTCGTTGCGAAGTTCGGAAAATCAATTTGTATATAAACAAAGTCCCTGATTGGTCCCTGAAGTCAAAGAAGCCAATCAAATGCGTAGTTTACAAACTGGTTTGTGAATCTCATTATGAACTTTTGAACTTCGCAACAAACTTGCAAACTTCGCAACGAAGTTCGGAACATTTGTGGCCAAAGACAAAGTTATCTCAAATCGACTGTAATATAAGCGCTAGCGCATCATAAGGTTTCAGATGGCATGCAACATGTACGCAGTGCCTATTTTTGAATTAGTTATGTGTTTTAAGGTGGCTCAATACAGTTTTTGAAATATGACAAAATCGTGATTTAGATTTAATTTTTTGAAGAGAGGTTTTTTTTTAGAAGACAAAAATTGTACCACATATATTGAGCAATCTTCTAAGAGTTGAAAATTGTTCACAAAAATGACGTCATTACCGTTGCTATGTTAACAATGACGTTTCAATATGGCCGACATTTTACCTTTTAACACATTTTAATCGAAAAAAAGGCCGGTTACCCCCATTTTTTATTTCGTGAAACGTTTTCATTTAGAAAAATGAATGATATGAACAAGCTTAAAAAAATTCTGTAGATCAGAATTTTTAAAAAATTTAAAAACGTGATTTTTCGTGATAAATATTTTTTGGATCTACAGAATTTTTTTAAACTTGTTCACATCATTCACTTTTCTGATTGAAAACGTTTCGCGAAATAAAAAATGGGGGTAACCGGCCTTTTTTCGAGTAAAATGTGTTAAAAAGTAAAATGTCGGCCATATTGAAACGTCATTGTTACCATAGCAACGGTAATGACGTGCAACGGTAATGACGTCATTTTTGTGAACAATTTTCAACTCTTAGAAGATTGTTCAATATATGTGGTACAATTTTTGTCTTCTAACAAGAAATCTCTCTTCAAAAAATTAAATCTAAATCACAATTTTGTCACATATTTCAAAAACTGTAGGGAGCCACCTTAAATCCAACAAGTCTTGTCATGCCGACATGGAATATGATTGGAGTGATGGGACTAAAGATGGGACTAAATATGCCGGTATATACTGTATTGCTTCATGCAATTCTGTTCCTTCTTGTTTTGGAAAGCTGTGATTCATGCACTGTATCTTTTAATGACTAAGTTTGTACCAGCTTCAGTTTGTACCAGCTCAAGTACACGGCAATGGTCATTGGAGTACCTGTGAGGTACGACTAAAAATCTTGAATTATCGCTCCCTGCTCATTTGGATTGAGTGGCCGACTTTTTCATCTTCACACCGGATTAGATTTCTACACGCAGGAGGCGCTGATACCCTTATAGTAATTAAGTTGTCAACAAGGTTTTATGTCTATTTCATCGTTTTGTGCCTCCATTTGCACAGCAATTACAAACTCAAGTACATGCATATACAAGTGCAATATACTCTTGCACTAAGAGGTCGGGTATTTCTAGTTTTGAGTTTGGCATTCAAACTGACAGCTTTATTTGAATTAGCTGCATGTTTTGTGTAATGTGCCGTGCAAAGATATTACTGTATTTCTATTTTATTAATTCAAGAACCTGTTTTTAGGTTCCGTGACCGAAATGAAGATATTAACAATATGGAAACCAGTTATGGTGACATTCAGAAAGAAGAAGCAAAAAGGTAAACTGGCTTTTATTTTCATATAGTTTCTGTCAGCTCAACATAAGCTATAGTGCATGATTTAGTAATCGCTTTTATTGTATGGCAAGGCGGTCCATGCATGTGCAGCATGTTAATTGGTTCCTGAGCGGTCGATAACCTAGCTGCAGTACAGACCGCTAACTAATCTCATAGTATGGACCGCTAAGATGGAACCGCTCATGAAGATGTGTGACCTTGGCTTGGTAAGTTTTAATAAGAATCACTTGCTATTCTAATCTATTTTTGTATTAAAAAGTTGTTAACATGTGTATAAACGCTTTTTACAACACTTAAAATACTGACAGAGTGATGCTTTATACTTTCCGCCATTGAACGGTTTTTTCGGGGAACTGAAATGAAAAAAACTGCTTTGTTTTCGGCTTGTAGAATATATTAATATTTGAAATTATATATGTTGTTATCGTTTTATCTTCGTCAAAAGTGTTTACGGAAATTTAAAATCCTGCCTTTTTAAATGTTCATGAAAATAGTGTTGTCAACAACTTAATTAAACATTGTTTTTTGAAGAATGCCGTCTTATTTTTAGTTGAAGGGTTTTGTTGATGGAAATTATCGAGTGTAAATTTATATTGGACTGTCTGTGCCAGTGTAGATAGTGTAGATAGTGCCAATAATATAAACAAGCTTTCGTTTGTTGCCATGGATGCAACTACCTGGAAAATATAAGGAGAATTTCGACTTAACTCCAGACGAACTGCCTTCGCTTGAAACGTCGAAATTCTCCTTATCTTTTTCAGGTAGTTGCATTCATACCAACGAAAGATTGCCTATGTAAGCTGCAGGTTCGATTCCTGCTAAGGTGTATAGAAAAGGTAGTATACTATTTTGAAACGGCTCTCAATTTCACAAACCCGTTAATTTCATGAAATGTTTGATAGATATAGATTGATTTGGATACTTATAATGTAGAATAAACAAAAAATGTTCGTAAAGATAAAGTTTCCAGAGCAGGGGGGGAGGGGTGGTGTCTTTTTAGCAGCATTAAAAATTTTTAAAACGCATTTTGAGTTCATGGGCGACAAATTTGTTATGTGTTTGATCAATGGTCCAAAGTCAGAAAAATTACTCAATTTTAAGTCCTATAAATAGCTGCTGAAAGTTTCATTTTTTGGCACCAATGTCTATCACCGCATGCTTAATTCGTGCATTTACCTAATTTGCATGCGTATTGTTATTTTACTTTTTTACTAATTTTTGTTTATTCTTTATTAATATAAGTATACCCAAACAATCTATATTTATCAAACATTTCATGGAATTAACGTATTTGTGAAATTGAGAGCCGTTTCAAAATTGTCTACTTTTTTTATACACCCTGTAGTTGCATTTTTTTCCAGCTGTTCGTGGCTAGGTCTAATAAATGTATATAAATTTATACACGATAATTTCCATCATGCACAAAACCCTTCACCCACTGTATTATACAATCGAGTGATGCCAAAAAATCTTGATATTTACCCAGTCTTGTTTTTAGCCATATAATAAAGAACTTATTGAAGCCTCGTTCTTTTTTCGTTTTTACAAACTCGCCTAATATCCTATAGAGTCTGGACCTCTCGCTCAGTCAATAACATATATTATTATATGGCTTTTCAAAATTCTCTATTCTGATTGGTTGACAAGCGGTCCGTAAAAACCAATATCCGGACCGTGGTCCGTATTTTCCGTATCTGGACCGGTGTCCCGGATGTTGTTTATCTGGCGGGAAATGTTTGCTTTGCAAACAGAACATTTTTTTGCTTTTTAAGTTTCCAATTGTGCTTTACAGATAAAAATTTCAAACAACCAAATTGTTTTTGATTGAGCATGCATGCCTACCGTATATTGTTACCCAGAGAAACTGACGATAGCCGATTTAATTCGCGCGAAAAGCATATGCTCACAGACTCAGTTCAGCCATATAATAAACCGATTATTGACCTCGCTTGTTCGGTCTGTACTGTGAAATATCAGATCTCTGTTTTTTGCATGGACCTCGGTCTGATATTTTACAGTACAGACCACACGTTCGGTCAATAAGCCTTAGCAAGAGATAAATAAGTCGTAGCGAGTGAATTAATGCATACAGAACAGCTTTGTTCAGTACTCCCCCAAAGACCTAAGAGTGCATTATTGCATGGCCCATTAGTGGCTCGTGGTATACTAATTTGCATATGACCCATATACGTTTCATTTTTAACAGGGAGTACATAGGGTGGAGTACTAAACTTGGCCCGTTCTGGCCTGAATGATATCTGCAGAATGACAAGGTCGAACTTTGCTTAAAATCAGTGCAATCACGTTGGCTTCTTTCAACTCTACGCAATATGGAGTCAAAATACCTTTGACAATAGCATACCACAATAGTCAATAGCGGTGTTTTTATTATTATAAATAACAAACTTGAGCAGATTTTATTGAAATAATAATAATCAGCTTACCTTTCGCTTTACTAGAAAAACTGCTTTGACGACGGCCAATATTTTCGTTTTTCAGCGAATTCCATTCAAATATACGCTGTTCTTTCGCAAATATATGTTTGTATCGTCAGTAGCTTGTGTGAATGGGCGATAGACGAAAGTTAACCCTATAACCCTAAATTTGTTAGCTGTGGTACAGTAATTGTGGTTGACAGGAAATTTTACACTACATTATTTCTAAACTCATTTGTGTTCTGTTTATTTAGTCTACGAATCGCAAAACTTGAAGATGAGGTTGAAAAACTGAAAGAAAGTTACGAACTTGAACAGCAACAGAGAAAAAACAAAAAGTTAAAACAGTAGCTATGGCCTTGCGTGAGTGAAACATAGTGAATATTGGTAAAACAGATTTAATATTTATATTGTCCAGAATTTTAAAAAGGGTATCTATAATAAACGTCGCCATAACGTTTTGAATACTTTTATTGTGTATAAATAATCACGTATTTCATCTTTCAGTTTGCTCTTTTTAAAACATGGGTGATCCAGATTTTTAAAACTTTTCGTTGAAAATTTATTACAGAAGACTTTTTATTACAGAAAGCCTTCAACTGTTGTTAGTATAGGTAATCATGCGATGTTGCTCGTACAATTAGGGATTAATAGTACGAGTGATGTTTGGAAATTTTGCCAAAATTGGACGAGCCGCCGGGGCGTCAAAATTTCCAAACATCACTCGTACTATTAATCCCTAATTGTACGAGCAACATCGCATGATTACTTGTTTATTATTAGCATGACAAAATTGGATACTTCTCAATATCAACATCATATTCTCTCGCCAAAGCCCAGTCCTGCCAGACTTTCAACCAAAATTTTGTGCTTTTGTTCGTATTTTCATCTAGTTCTTTTGTTAAAGCAAAATTTGGTGCTTTTGTTCGTATTTTCATCTAGTTCCTCTATAGCCTGATAACAGACCTACGTTTCACCCGCCCTAAAATTCGTCGACGGAAATGGCGAAACGTAGGTCTGATGAAAATGTTGTCAAAAGCGCCTTCCGCCCACTTTGCATTTTGCAATAATTAACGATGATGATGACACATACATGTAATACCTAAAAATACAATGAAAGTTGTCGATTTCACTTTATTGCAAGTTTGTAAACTAGTAAGAGTCGATAAGTACAGATATTCGAATAAATATTTAAAATATTGGTAACCCCATGGAGCCCGTTGCTTTTATATACTTAAACCTTTGTAAATGAACAGTTACAGCTAGTAATAATACAACATTTTCAACACATTCTATAAATGCGATAAAATCTGCTTACGCAAATTTGGCAATGGCCAATGTGCCATTGTTGAATTGCATCCCAACTCTTACAATTTATACATTTTGAAATCGCCATACAATGGTAAAATCTAAATAAAATATTTTGTACGTGCTATGTTATCAAAATGTAAATCATGAATGCGCACATATTTGTATCCGAGTTTTACTATGATTTATAATCACAAAACTTAGATCGTGTATAAAAAATTATCTATTGTATTGTTAATAACAGCGGAAAGATACAACGCTGAAGAATTTGACACGTGCTGATCTACTCCCCTCTAGTTTTAATTTTAGACGGTAGATACTGATCATAGACTAGTTGTCGTTCGGCATCACAAAATATTTAGAATATTACACTGTCTCTGTTACACTGTATGCATATTTATATGCGTTGATTTACCGTTGAAAATATTCTGATCTTTTCAAATCTTTTCATGTTAGCGACCAACCAATCACAACCCATTTTTCTGTGAATTAGCCAATCAGCTTTGTCGACCGCCAGGCGGTCGACTTACATGCACTTTTGACAACATTTTCATCAGACCTACGTTTCGCCCTTCGTCGACCCGCGAATTTTAGGGCGGGCGAAACGTAGGTCTGTTATCAGGCTAGTTCCTCTAGGGCAATTTCATTTCACGCTTGTGTTTAAAATACCTTTCCGCCATTCTGTTTGTTTTGGGAAAATCATTAATTGTACTGCAGTACAATTAATGAAATAATTGTACTCCTCTCGACCAATCAGCATCCAGTAATTTGACATGCTAATAATAAGTTACTTTATTTCTTATCGAGATTTTTAGGCATCTCGCTCGATAGAACAAACAGTTGAAGGGTTTTTGTATAGATGGAAATTTCGAATGGAAGCCAGGTGATCTCGTGTTCGTATTTTAGCCAATCAAATCCATTTTGATGTATTCAGTCAATTATATCTTTCGTTATTCTTTATGAAACTAGTTGAAATTTTGTAATTATGTTTGCTTATGAGAACTATAGCTCTGACAAAAATTTGGAATCGAAATAATGTATATTACAGGAGATATTCAGTTGTTTTAATCATAAAATGGATTTCTATTTGACAACTAGTGCCAGTACTTTTCCGCGTATCAAGATCACCTGGGATTATATGCAGTTTTAAGCCTGGTTCACACGATGAAATAAGCATAAGCATAAGCATATTAAGCATAAGCATAAGCAAGCGGAACCTTTGATGTAAACATAAGAAGAACAAATGTTGCGTTCTTCTTATGCTTACGTTTATGCACATCAAAGGTTCCGCTGCTTGTGCTTATGCTTATTTCATCGTGTGAACCAGGCTTTAGACTTAACCAGGAGCAGCTGCGAAAAATGTAACTATATAGGCCTCCTGGCAGGAGTCGAACCTGCGGCAAATTTCAAAACAGTTTTATATTTTGGATACAGCTTTTACATCTCGATAATAAAATCAATTATCATTCACTTTATAGTATTCTTAATTTTGATTGGTTAATTTACCTGCAAAATATAATAGTCTGAGCAAGCATGCACATTTGTTAAAAACGTTGCATGCTCAGCTACAAATAATACTCTGAACATGCGCATTGCGGCTCGCTTTGCTGAACTTTCGGTAGATGAGTTGTCTTGCTTACTTGTGAAGAAAAAAAACGCGGAAAACACAAAAAAGCGACTAAAACAGCCGTCTTTCGCCAGTATATCTAGATGTCTAGAAGCAAAACAAATCAACGAAGACGATCTAGTTGGCTCAAAAGAAACTTTTGCCAACGTCCTTCGCGAGTTTTATGCAGAAGCAAGAAATAGTATTTTCTTTTGTGAATAAAGTTTTGTGTCAAAAGCTCGTTGTACATGTGCCTAGTTACAATGTCTTATAACGAAAGATAAAACGAAGCTTTATAAGAGAATAACAAAACAATTATTGAACTCGGTTCCCGCAAAATATCGTGATTTGTCGGTGGCTCGCAGACCGACAAATGTTCGCCATATTTTGCTCAACCTCGTCCAATAATCGATCATTCTTTATCGTATTTCGTTCAAAGCAATTGAGATTTCCAATAATCTTTAAGATCTCACAGCCACGCGGTATATAGGCACATCGTTTGATAACATTCTGCAATCTCGTTCCCCGAGTCTGCGATCCTCGGGAACTGGAAGGAACGTGAGGCTCTGGGATAATCCGTTTCAGGGAGGAATCTGATTGGCCGTTGATATGGAATGCGCAGTTCGGTCTCCGGCAACGGATTATCCCAGAGCCTCACGTTCCTTCCGGAGGATCGCAGGCTCGGGGAACGAGATTGAACATTCTGTTAATTTGTATATCTCGTTCCACGAGCCTGCGATCCTCGGGAATGAACGTGAGGCTCTGGGATAATCGATTAAACGATTACATGGCAAAGTTCAGCCCGGGGTGCGTTAGAATTTCAGTTCAAACCTGGGTGAAGCTGAAACGATAAATCTCAAAATGGAGCTATTCCGCTTCTTCGAAAAATTAAAAATGTTATTCATGTCTATTATTTGACTTCTGCGCGAGACTGGGGTTGTATTTAAAATTTAAAATATAAAACAGACAGAAATAAAACCACTTAAACGCTGAAAACTGTCCATGTGATCAGCCCCTAAGTAGGTGTTCAATAAAAACAAATTCAGTTAATCATCGCTAAAGCTATTTACATATTCGATTTAAGTAATAATTGTGCAAGTTTTTGTAACAACATCCAGGGAATTCCATGCAGGCTACTGCTCCACTATTGGCAAGACTATCTTCGTATTTGGTTCAGGGATACTTAAATTTAACTTACTACCTCTCACGTTGTAGTTTAATATTCACGACATCCCTCTTAGAAAGTTGATCTGCCTGACAGGAATTAAGGTGCGGCACTTACTACTTTGTTTGCATTCCAACGGCGCTCTAACACATGCCAGTTTTCTATAATCTCCATTGAATTTCGTAGCCAGAGTACGTGATCATACGCGACGTAAAAAAACACTGCCCATTAATCCACTCAAAATCAAGGCTCAAAATCGTGCACTTCGGTGACGTAGTCGTCAGCGCGAGCACGTCTCACCTCTGAGTTCGTGCGTTCGATTCTCTCGTTGCCCACTCATGTGAATAGAGTCAGTCAACGCTCTCCTGAAAGTCGTGGATTTTTTCCAATCACCTCCTCCCACAGGGAAGTTGATAGGGTGTGTTAAGACAAACACAGTTGAGAAAGTAATAGACTTTCAAAAAAATAGTTTTTTATTAAAAAAGTTTTAAAAGAGTTTTAAAAAGCAAGGAAAATTTAAAAAGTTAGATTTTCACAAAAAAAGTTAAAAAGGTTAGGGTTAGTGGGTAGGGGTTGGGGTTAGTGCCGCGAATTTGTTATTATGATAAATTCAAAATGTGCCGCGAATTTATCATAGTGATAAATTCGAACGTGTTTAACAATTTACTCGTATAGTAAATTCAAAGTTGGAGCTCATGCTGAAATGTTAATCGTATAATCGTAATACAGAATACTGACTTCTATGTTACCTTGTTTTTCATGTTCTGTTATTTTCGCATTTGATTTTTCCGCGTTATATCTTTTCTCCGCTTCTGCAATTCCGCGGTTGCACCATAATGATTCCGGATGCGCGTTGTTTCTCAACCAGCTGTGATGACTGCATGCATTTAATACTGCATGTTTTATCGATAAAAACAGTTGTAAATACAAATATATTGCTAAAATAGCTTCGAGGCAGAAAATATTATTATTATTTTGCTTTATAATTACATGTTCCAATATTGTCGCATTGTCCGATAGTTGTAGACATCTACGTGATCTACCTTCGAAATGTTTGATCGTATTTCGTTAAGCATTTAAAGAGGTAGTTTGCTTATAAACAAGAACAATGTCAATGCAAACAACATTTAAGCCTGGTTTCCATATGGTCGTAATGGTCGTGAAAATAGAGTCACGATCTTTCTCAACAGCCAGTTTGCAATAGTAAACCTGTAAACCACATATAAATCATTTTTAGTTCTAAAATGTTGTATTTCGACTGATGAGAAAGATCATGACTCAATCTTTACGACTATATGGAAACCAGACTTTAGTCAGTCTAATATGGGCGTACGAGGCAGGGGAGCAACTGCTACCATACTGTAGTTTAATAAAGGGTGGGAACTGTGTTGAATGATACACAAACCTCATATGCTTACGGGGCTGATAATTTCCGGGGGGAGGAGGGAGTTGAAAGTTTGCCCGAATTTTTATGGAGAATTGTAATGAAATAACCTGGAGTTAACATATTTTCTGATATATATGCCCGAATTTTCTTCATTTTTCAAAGTTGTTTTTTTTTTGGATGGGGCATGCAACTGCCCCCTCCCCTGCCCTGCCCCATTGTCTCGTACGCCTAGGTCAGAACTAAATGTTGTTTGCATTGACATTTTTCTGGTTCATAAACAAACAACCTGCATCTAATCTTTTCGCCGATGACGGCAAGTCCATATTTTGTTGATAAAAACTGTATTGCACATCGACAGGATTCTATTTGAATTAATTCAAAATCTCACATTAATTAATTGGTTGCGCTAAAAGGTTTTAGAATTTAATTAACCTTCAAAAATTGCATGAAAGTTTAGCTATAACTGGATTGAAATAAATTACATTTAAAATAGGGATATTGTATTTTTAACAAGCTTTCGGTGGTAGGAATTCAACTACCCGAAAAATATAAGCCATAACTCATAAGGAGAATTTCGACGTTTCGAAAGGCCCTTCATCTGGAGTCACTAGCGGGGGTCGGGAAAATTAGATAAGCTTTTATAGTGAGAGCTCATGTAATTTAAATATATTAAAAAGCTCGTGTAATTTTCTCGACCCCCGCTTGTAACTCCAGACGAAGTACCTTCGCTTAAAACGTCGAAATTCTCCTTATATTTTTCAGGTAGTTTATTCCCTAGCAACGAAAGCTTGTTAAAAATACAATCCATTTAGCCAAACTTTCATGCAATTTTTTAACTTTAATTAAAATCCTAAAATCCTTTTAGTGCAACCAATTAAATGAGAGATTTTGAATTAATCCAAATATAATCCTGTCGATGTGCAATACAGTTTTTATCAACAACATATGGACATGCCCTCGCTACAAAAAATTCATTTAACAAAAGTATTGAGTGATATATCTATTCCTCGAACAAACATTAATCAGCAATTTTTATCTGCCTGTAGCTACTGCTACGCTTTGTGGATTAAATAACCGTCAATCATTAGCTACCTAATGTGCTATATAATATGCTGTGGACAATCGACCTTCTAATACCCATATGACCCGCACATCAAAAAGTACCGAAAGCGGTTGGCTTAACATTGCAATCAACTTGGCACAGATTGGAGTTCAACAACACAACTGAATGTTCTTGTATTTGTAACCATACTTGAAAACATTGTGTTGGATAAAACCGAATTTAAAGTGTCAAGCATATATATATATATATATGCTGTATAGCGGCGTTCAAACATGTTAACTGTACCTAATCGTAGGGAGTTATCACCGCCCGGGAAAACTGGTGTACGAATTTTGGTTCTTGGCCCGCGAAATGTTGGAAAATCAGGTATTGTGTTTAATATTTACATTTTGTTACACCTGATGTTAGCAAGATTCTCACTGAACCGATTCTCACTGATTCTCACTGCTTTAAATCCCCCCGGGACTTATGAAACCTGACGAATTCTCACGACGTATTCTCATGCATGTACACGAATGGAACGGCATATTTGCCGAACGTAGCTCAAAACATATTAAACCCTTTTGTATTTTCCATTGCAAAGATTAAACGGAGTCGTTTTTGAATTCTTTTGATATAAACGATCCTTTGGCTTAAAACAACACACACATATTATTGGTGTCAAACTGACCCAAAACATGTTGCCGCTTTAGTTTCAAATTCAAGTGTTCTCGAAAAAGACAAAAACGAAATTTGAACTGGTTTCTAAAACCGTGTAAACGTGTATAGACTATAGTTGCACAATAGTTAGAAGTTATTCATTATTGCCCATTAATGAGACATTATGATGTGTTAAATCCCATAAGTACACTTAAATTGCTGCTAAAATTGCCTCATACTTTAACATATTTTTTGCATCAACCATGTTTACGTTCAGCCGTGGTACCCCGGTTCTTCAATAGAGTTTACTGTGCTCTGAATAATGGAGTGATATAAGATATAATGATAGATTTTAATACCATAAAAATTCCGGTGTCTCTGAGACTGTAATATGTATAGCTGTTTATAAAAATATTCTCATCTTGGGAAGCATTCTGTTTCGTTGATAAACCAAAGTATGGCATACTGTATACTGCATATATTAGTCTATATGTTTCAAAATCCGAACTTGTTATTTTAATGTAATATATTTCAGCACATACATTTATGATACGAGCGTGCTGATATATAAATTTGTTATAAATAAAACAGGAAGAATTACCCTATTTCAGTATTTCAACCTTTGGCCGCTGAGTCTACGTTTCGTATAATTAATTGTAAAGTGGATATAGCTCTTTAGCTTGTGCCTGTACATTGAAGTAACTATATTTAAAACTTAGACATTTGCTATGATACAACAGCTGAAAATCGGTTCGTATAATTTCGGTATTTATTTGGCATGATATAAATATCATCAAAGTCAATAAGCCGACAACCGGAGGCTAGGTTTTATGTCGGTCTAGGGTGCTAGATTTCTATGATTTTCACTTTGACATTTTTAATCATGTTTAACCTTACCACTTGTTTTAACTAAGACGTTTTCTTACATGTTTACAAACACAATATTTCTCCAGGCTCTTTTTAAAATCTTGGCCGAAGCAGCGATTCGGGGAATTTTATGTTCATTTTGCTGTAGACCGGTTTAATTTCCCACGCATAGCTTCCTGTGGCCGCATCGATTTTTATAAAATTAGGAATAATCGTCAAAAACTGATATCAGTATCCTTGAAATATACAATCGACGTGTAGCTGCGAACACGGTGAAAACAAACAATCAGCAATTATTGTGAAACCAGTTCCAAAACTTGACTGCCTTTGGAAATCCGAAAATAAAATTGTCTTAAGTGTGCATTCGGCCAATCTGCTTGCATTGGCAATTGTTCAAGCTGCCTAATCTCGTCGGGCGACAGACAGCTGTTCCAAACGCCGATTCAGGCTTTATATATCTTACTGTAAATAGCAGCCTACGCGTAGATCGAACACGATATTAGAATTAGGTCTCTGTGTAGCAGTAAGCTGCCAACTCCCAACAATAGTTAACAGTAGGAGGTATTAAGATAAGTAAAACTGCTTAAAAATGTTTTATTCGTCTGTCAGAGAGTCAATTGTGTATATTGTATTGAAGATTTGCAAAAGGCAAATTTTGCATGGGAGTTTAAAAATTAATCAATAATCGATGACACGATGTCGGAACAGGAAACTATATAGAATATGAGCTGGCGTGTTATGTAAACCGCTATCGCCATAGAGACACTAATTGACTGTCGGGATACAGATCAAGATTGTTCACCAAACCTTGCCCTCAAAAATCTTCCAGATATAAAGCATGCCACATCTACTTAACTTAACTTACTTGCACGTACAACGGTGCTTGATATGATAATTAGATTTAGGTGTCCAAACTACGTGGTAGACGAGCTAGTCCACAAAGTCACAGGCATTGACCCAAAGAACAAGGAAAAGTGCTAATAGTTGACGACGAATCCTGTGGTAGAGAGACTAGGGTTTCCCGTATATTTTTACTATCTAGAAAAGATATAAGGGGTTATGGGAGAAAATAGAAGACTTTCAGGGTTGCTTTTCCAAGATATGAAAACTCTTTCTAATAACATCACTTACTTGAAAATTGAAGGGATGGTAAGTTAGAACTAGGAGAATTTTGTTATTGGGAATATATTTAGACAAGTGGTTTCTATAGGTTTCGGGAACCCTTCAAAAAGGCATGGGAAACCAAAAAGAAGATTTTATGGATCTCTTCCCCTTCGATCTTCTTCTTTTTAATTCCTTCGTCTCTCTGCACACATGGGAGATCAGTGAGACCAGTTCTTATATATCCTTCATCCTTGTATCAATCAATGGTAATAAACTAGCTACTTCTGTGTTCTACAAGCCCACTGACTCCCACAGCTATCTTCTATTTTGAAGTATTTTCCTCTTCCCGCCCTAACGACAGCGAAAGTTCGATATCGATTCCCTTTATTTTTCGCCGCATTTGCAGTGAAGATGAGGACTTCCAAGACAAAAATATGGAGATGAGAAACCTTTTTGTCCAGTGCTATCCTACTTATCTTTAAGACAATATATTTTAGAAGGCCTCGCAATTCCCCGAATTCCCTATACTTGCATGAAGTTTCGAATAATTAACATTTATTCGCCGAAGGCGAGGTGATTATCGAGGATTAGTATTTTTGCACAAGTGAACATAACAAATCCTACAAGTTGATTGGTCAAATTTGACGTATTAAGCTGTTATATTCACCAAATTTGCAAAATGGCGGCTTCGCCCGATAATCACCTCGCCTTCGGCGAATAACTAGGGAGCTTTAGATTTGACCACGAGTACGAGATTTGATACCACACTTGATGGTGTTTATGACGTCGTATATCGACGTCATAAACACCAAACGCTATATAAATGCTACAAATTATTTTGGGAAAACAAAAAAAAAGCCAACTTTCTTTGTTTTTTGAAAAGTCGTCGTGAGGAATACTAGATTTCTCCACAATTTCGTACTCAGATGGGCGACGGCTACGACTTTTTCGCGTCAGTACGGGATGGCGTAAGCATACAGCATGCGTTTCGCTTGACGAATCTCGTACTCTCGTAGCCGGAGGCGAATAATTGTTTTAGTATTTTTACACAAGCCTTTTGTGTTATTTGGTACTGAATTTATTTTAACTAATTTCTCTTATTTCTTTATCAGTAAACTTCCGCAAAATGGCTAGCCGCCATTTTGCAAATTTCGGTTTTGTTATATTCGCCTGTATAGGTGAATATAACATCTTAATACGTCACATTTGACCAATGAGGTTGTAGGATTTGTTATATTCACTTGTGCAAAAATACTGACAATGAATATGAAAGTAAATTTGAAAGTAAAAGATGTCAGAAAGAATTTGCTCATCTTGGAAAACGATTCTGAAACGTTCTCCATTTCTCCGGCCGATGCCCCTCTTTTCGACATAGCAAAAATATACGTGAAACCCTAGTCCACACTCCACAGGATTCTTGGTCACTTAATAGCACGTTTCCCTGACGTGTGGGCCAATATAAAACATGTGATAGACTTCTAAAACTTTCTAGACTTCTTTGCCACTGTTTCGACACTTAAATATACCTCATCATATTTCATCTATCGTATCTCGTGCAGTATGGCATGCTGGGAACTGGGAGACCTTTCAGGAGAAGGTTTGGTGATCATTGACAAGGATGCTAAATGTCCTAATTAACCTGTTAACAGACATTTTAATACAGCGATCATAGTGTTTCGGATATGAAAATCGAGCCCTCTATCCTATTTCTGGTAGCAATGCCGCAAACTGAGACATGAAATTCATCTCATTTCCAAACATGGCACCGTCCAATCCACCCCCGTAGTAAAATTAACGAATGTTCCTATATTTAGCTTTAATCTCCACCCTCTATTTAGCGCCCATTCTCTATTAATAAAATCATTCTCAATTTATGACGAAATATGAACACAAACGTTCTATGTATAACGTTCACTGATACCGCCGCGTATAACGTTCACCGATGGTATCAACCGAGTTGTTAAAATACAGGAAGCACCATAGCCATATGGTTTTTCCCGACCCATGCTACTAACTTGATGAAGGGCAGAATAATAAATTGGAGCTTAATCCTTTCCACAACCACAACATTTTACTACTCGTTTGCGTCGCCTCCATTCTATACTGCGTTTTGGGGAAGCCTCGCAGTGCCTCAGACGGTCGTCTCCAATTGGATGGGGGTTTTCTAAAGAACGAAGCAATTCATTGTTGTAAACACAAAAGCAATTGTCAAATCGAGCCAATGAAAATCACTCTTCCGAGCTACTGCGAGGCTACCCGCCTTTTGGGGCCATTCAACAAATACGTCATCATCGAGGATGGAGGTGGTAGCTGATAAATTGGACGACGATTTTGATGAGATCTTGATATGAGCATAAAAACAACAAATTATTAAAATATCATCTTTCTGGTATTACTATTACTACCACCATAGAAGTATTGAATAAATCATGCTTAACGTAAGTTCATATACAGGGTGTATAAAAAAAACTGAACAGATTTGAAATTGCTCTCAATTTCGCAAAACAGCTATTCATATCCAGTTTTTGATATGTATAGTTTCTTTGGGTACTTATAATGTAGAATAATGAAACAAATTTCTCCAACTCAAATTTTGTTAATTAACCCGGGGGGCGTCTTTTCCAACAAATTAAAAATGGCTTGCGCACGAGATTTAAAAGCTTTAAGGGGCGGACCATTTGATTTTTGAGGGGGGGGTGGGGTGGAAGATTCAGTCTGTGTAAGAATTTTTTTTCCGCCCAGGCGAACGAGACAGATATTTTTTCCTGTAAAAGTGCAGCGCAAGATATTTTTTTCCCAATATATTTGGCCGCAGGATATTTTTTTTGCCTCTCATAATAACGGCTTACAGTAACTTTAGGCTTTCATATAGCTATCATCGGAGACGTAGCAGGGGTTTTCAGTCAGAGGAGGCCGAGAACTGAATCCCAAGATGGGCCAAGGAATTTTCACTGTGCTTTATTTTATATATGGTTATGTCTTAATGTTCCCCACACTAAAGCGTGCAAGTTTACTTACAAAGAATGTATAACTGCACCAAAACCTAAAACATGCAGGGATAGAGTAGAGTGCTCGAAAATGGGGGAGGGTACAGTATATGAATGACCTGTAACCTTGGGGGGTTCGGGGGCATGCTCCCCCGAGAAAATTTTAAAATTTGAACCTCGGAAATGCTATTTCCTGCGTTTTCAGCCATGGATAATTACCTTAAGCCCAGATTTCCTCAGGAGGGGCAACAATTTTGCCAGGGAACACCACTGGCTATCGTATGTCAGAGGCTCCAAAGGCGGTAGAATCCCTGTGATGCTATCCACTGTTCACCGCGTGTTCTTTTAAGCAAATGTGCCTGCTCAAAAATGCAAAATCTTGCAAGCCTGTGGACACAATACTGAAGTGAAGAGCATCAGTAGAGTTACATGTAGAAAATTTTTTTTTGAGCGCTCTCTTTTGCATGATATTTTTTTTTTTCGATTGTGTGCTGCATGATTTTTTTTTTCTTTCTCCTTGGGTTGCAGGAAATTTTTTTTCGAAATCTTCCACCCCCCCCTCAAAAGTCAAATGGTCCGCCCCTAATCGTATTTTGAGTTGCATGCTTAATTAATGCCTTTGCCTAATTTGCATATTGCAGCAATATGCAAATTAGGCAAATGCATTAATTAAGAATGCGAAAGGCTGATTTTTTAGGAAAAATGAATAGTTAAAGGCTTAAACTAACAAATTGTCTGAACTTTTGTAAAGTAATTAAAAACCCAACAAATTTGCCATCCATTAACTCAAGATACGATTAAAGCTTTTAAATTTCGTGCGCAAGCCATTTTTAGTTTGTTGGAAAAGAAACACCCCCCTGGATTACAAAATTTCAGTTCGAGTATTTTGTTTTCATTATTCTACATTATGCCGGTACTCAAGAAATCTATATATAACAAAAACGTGATACCACGAGCTGTTTTCCAAAGTTCAGAGCAATTTCAAATCTGTTCTATCAAAAACTATTTTATGTGTATATAAATTCCCCCTGACCTTTGCTTGTTTCTAAGCAAAGTTCACCCCCCCCCCAACTGCCCTCGTTCTCATGTCAAAAGGTATTGTACAATAACCATATGAATATGCTATATGGTTACATATTGAATATGGTTTACACGACTTTAATAGTTACAGTATCAAAGATTCCTACTCAAACTATAACCAGATAAAAACGATTCACTTCAATCTCGACGTTTCGAGAAAAAGCCCATTCGTCAAGAATACTACGATCACATGTCTGCAATACGCAGTATCTGAACTTACGCAACCGATACTTATTTACGATAGCAACTTAATTTAAAAATCAAGCTCGCTATCTTTAATGAGCTCAATGACATATTACTTGTTAAAACGAGTCCAGATGAAATTTAATGAAATTTAATAAAAAATGTAGGTAATTATTACATCAATATTAATCATTTTAGCACTTTGAAATCATCAATCAAACTGCACGTTTCGATTAACCTTTCGACCCTGTTCTAAAAGCTATAAACTTTGAGATAAGATTGAGACGAAACAAGGAAAAAATATATCACAACCGGAAAAAACATACACACCAAGCAAGTCGTAAGAAAACCCATGTCAAGTGGCACAAACGTGCACCCGAACCCCCGGAGCGCAACATGTGGTGCAATATCATATTTATATAGCAAGAAAAACCCTTCTAGTCTTATCTTTTGTATAATTTGTATATGTTTGTATAGGTAATAGTATGGTTTCTCGTGCACTTTGGAAAAAAGATGCACGAGTGAGTTTTTCAAAGACTATAAAAAGTGCACAATGTATATTACAGCATGAGCTCC